TGAGCCACCGTGCCCGGCGAGAACAGGTTTTTTTGTGTGTGTGAGACAAAGTCTTGCTCTGTAACCCAGGCTGGAGTCCAGTGGTGCAACCTCCAGTGTGGGGTTTGGCCTCCCAGTTCAAGCAATTCTCTTGCCTCAGGCTCCCAAGTAGCTGGGGCTACAGGCGCCCACTATCACACTAATTTCTATATCTTTAGTAGAGATGGGGTTTCACCATGTTGGCTAGGCTGGTCTCAAACTCCTGACCTCTACTGATCCATGAGAACAGGTTTTTTTGTACTTTTATTTTTTTAGATGGAGTCTTGCCCTATTGCCCAGGCTGGAGTGCAGTGGCATGATCTCGGCTCACTGCAGCCTCCACTTCCCAGGTTCAAGAGATTCTCCTGCCTCTGCCTCCCAAGTAGCTGGGATTATACAGGTGTGTGCCACCACCCCCAGCTAGTTTTTGTATTTTCGGTAGAGACAGGATTTTGCCATGTTGGCCAGGCTTGACCTGAGGCAATCCATCTGCCTCAGCTTCCCAAAGTTCTGGGATTACAGGTGTAAGCCACCAAGCCTGGCTGTTGTACTTTTAGAGTCCAGGGTAAGCAGCAGGAAAAGCCCAAGGGGCTCCAAGCCATAGTCCAGAGGCTGTGGGACATGGCTCCCAACATCTCTAGGGTGGGTACCCAAAACCAGCTGAGTTTTTCCTCAGCCCTTTGCTCAGGGCCCCCGATGTGCTGGAGTAAGACTAGATTCCTCAGTCTAATGGCCTGGCTCATCTTGCCAGGCCCTGCCTCTTGCTCAGCTGCCTTGAGTCCTTATTGGGACATGCTGCTTTTTCCACCCAGGGACTCTCTCACCTTAACCCTCTAATCCACTGTTCTCTTCAGGGTTTGAATCAGGAGCTACACGAGATAGTTCACTTGTGGGCGAGGGTCCCTGGTCATTCCCAGTAGCCAGCACCAGGCCAGGCTCTGCAGGACTTCACATGGTTCTGAAGTGCTGCTGGGTGATCAAAGTACAGTGAGGAGTGTGTGGGCAGAGGAGGAGGGTTTTATTCTGGACATGGGTGGCAGGGCCGTCAGTCCCCCAGCAAGATAGAGGCCTCACGCACATGCTGCCGGACCACTAGGTCCAAGAGGGTGTGCACATCTCGAGCAGCCTGGGCAGCAGCCTCCAACACCCGCTCCAGGTGGTCCTCATGCAGCCGGGCATCCATCTCAAGCAGTGCAATCTGGCCTGAGGCTGGCAACAGGGCCAGGGCCAGCTGGGGGCCACCAGCTGCTTCCTCCACATGGCTGAGGTCCGCCAGGGCTGTGCCGTCCACAAAGCCAGCTGAGCACGCACACACAAAGTCTCTCATGGGTATCCCAGCATCCAGCACTGCCAGCGTGGCTGCATTCACACACGCTGCGTAAGTCCCACCATCTGCCTGTAGCACCTGCGAGGACCCCAGGGTGTCAGTTCATCAGACTCCCTCCTCAATCCCATCACACCCTTCCCTCCCTGGATTGCAGGCTGCAGCTGGCTCACCTGCACATAGATATCAATCTGGGAGCGTGGGTGCAGCTGTGTGAGGATGGCTGCTTCGAAAGTCTGGCGGAGTTGCAAGCCCATCTCACAGGACTTGCGGTCCCCATGTGGCCGTCGCTTGCGCTCACCGGTGCTGAAGGTCGCTGAACTATATTGACAGTTCACTAGGGCCCTGTCTGGCAGGGCTCGAGCCCGCGAGCCCCGGATCTGGAAGAAGATGGACACATGAGCCAGGCCCACTCCTTCCAGCTCACACTCCACTGTTCTCTGGGGGTCTGCCTCTCCTTTCACTTTCAGTGCCTCAGCAAGAGGCAACTACTTTACCTCCAAAACAAAGCCCTTTGTTTTGCACGTTTTTCCTCCTGGCATGCATCTTTTAATTGGCTGCCTTGTGTCCATCCTTGTCCCATTCCCTTCCAACCCAAGTTTACAAACATCAAGGCTGATTCTACCTCACTTACACACTCAAATCCTCATTAACTTACGAAGGCTTCACATTACACATGAAATAAAATCCCAAATCCTTGCCCTGTTCTACAAAATCCGAAGTCCTCACCTCCCCGGAAACTCTCTACCTCAATTTGGAGTTACCTCCTCTTTCCCCACCAGCAGTCTTTCTGCTCTGCCTAAGTGCTATGCTTGTTTTCACCCCGGCGGTCTTCGCCCTCCTGGTTCCCTCCGCCTAGAAAGCAGAGCTCTCACACTCATACGCTAAGCACATTTTCAATACCTTCGCTGGTAAGGCACTGTCACAGCGCGGGACAGCAAGGAAACCATAGGGTTTCATGTAAAGTTCCTGTCTTTAGGAAGCTGATGTTAAAGGTGAAAATGCTTAAGCAAAATAGGCGTTTGAGATCGCAGGTGCACAAAAGGCAAGGAGGGGTTTATTGTAGGGAGGGGAAGTACCGCGTGGATAAGGTCCTCTGGGGAGGACTGACGTCGGAGTAGAGCTGAGAGGTGAGGGGGCGAGTGGGGGAGCGCCTGGCACGTTGAAGAGCCGCAAAGACAAGGGAGGGCGCAGGGACAAGCCGACGAGAAAGGCAGGACCACCGCGCAGCGCACTAAGGACTTGCGTAGACTCCGAGTGTAATGCGGCGCTGAGCATCGGCTGCGTGGACCGGGGCGCGCCGGCCGCTGCCCCTCCCGTCCCTGAGCCTGTGCTCAGCCCGGCTGCCCTGCAGCTCCGCGGCCGCCCGACTTCCCCTCCCGCCGCCCACTCGCCTCGTGCGGGCCGTACACCACCGCCAGCGCCTTGGTGTTGCCCTGCTCGATGTAGGCCGAGCCGTCAGCCTGCGCGAACACGCCCATCCGCGCCTGGATTTTGCGCAGCTCCCCGGCGCGCCGCCCGTCCACCCGGTAGCCCTGGTCCGACAACAGCTCCAGGCCCGCCATTCCGCCCGGCCGCCAGCTCCGCTCTCCGCTGAGTTCTCCGAGCCGCCGGAGAACTGGAGAACTAGAGCTGCAGGCGGCTGCTACTTCCCCGATCCACGGTTTCCGGCGGTCCTCCGTCACTTCCGGGTCCGCTGAACTGCAACTCCCGGCGGCCCCGACCACCCCGGATCTACGGCTTCCGGCGGTCCTCCGTCACTTCCGGGTCCGCTGAACTGCAACTCCC